GCTCGTACAACAACACAGCACCATGTCAAGCCCTCTACTCCTTCCTTCTTCCTAGATCTGCCCCTTCCTGGCAGGAATGTATAAACAGCGCCATCTCCTACATGCGTGTGTATGGACAAATCCAAGCTGTTGGCATGTTGGCTCTGTACTGAGAACACCCCACATGGGCCCATGTTTGTTTTGCCCCTGGGTACCAGGCAGCAGAGCCTCAGCAGTGTGAAGGCCACCAGCCAGAACACACAGTCCTCGAGGCTAGCCAGGATGGTGGTGGAAGGTGGTGGGGACCGACACGGGACAGCATGCCACGTGCCTGGTCTAGGCGCTGCAGGCGAGGGGCAGGCCTACCCTGGGGGCATGGGTGCGGTATGGAGGGAAAGGAGGTGTAGCATGGACGCTGGGCAGTGCCCAGTGCTGAAATGGGCGCCCAACAGCAGTGTGGCAGGAGAGCAGGACAGCAGGGCCTGCTGCGTCCCCCGGCCGGGCCTCCAGGGCAGTGAGCACAGAGGGGAACCCCTGTGTCTCCGGGCTCCCCTCGGCCTGCCCCGCACACTGGTTACAGTTGAGTGGTTTGCGTGGAGGGGCCGGGAAGGTGCCTTGCTGAGGCCAGCCTGGCGACCCCCAGCTGGGCTAATAAATGACTTTTCCATTTTCCAAGGCCTGCGCCCAGGCCTGCTTGGTATTCAGGGGCGCCTGGCCCACCCTCGCCAGCTCTCGGCTCTGCCCGAATTACTTGATTAAAACGCATATCAACTATTATGTGATTCGTTTCTCTGCCACCGCTCCACGCCGGGGCCTATGTTAAACTGTAATAAAGCCTGGCTTGGGAGGTGGCAAGAGCGGGGCAGGGAGGGGGTGGTGCAGGCGTGGGCGAGGAGGTTGTCTGTGATAGGGACAGAAAGACGCCCCCCACTCCCCAAACCTCACCAGCACGACTCGCTCCCCCAGACCCGGGGAGACGACGGAGGGGTGCAGCCCCTTTCTACCTTCTGTAAGATAGACAGGTCCAGAAATGACAACCATTGTCTTTCAAGACGTTTCCTCCAGCAGGAGAGTGGAAGCAGCCACATCCCTGTAATCCTAGCTGCTGCCTAGAGGCTGAGGTCCCGGGACAGCAGTTTGAAGGCAGCTTGGGCCAAAACGTCAATGAGGCACTTTCCCCCAAATAACCAGCAAAGAGCTGGCCTAGAGGCCTGGCCTAAGTCAGAGCGCCAGCTGAGTGAGCAAGCCTAAGGCCCTGAATTCAAACCCTGGAACTGGTGAGGGGTGGGGGAGGGAGGGGGAAGTGGGGAGGAGAGAGAAGTTGCTGGAACCAAGCCGGAGCCAGGCTGGCATCCTTGTTTTCCCCACTGTTCTGGGACTCCACAGAGTACCTCACACGGGGCTAAGGCTGCCTGATGGAGCTGCCAGGGGAACTGGGGAGGCTGGATTGCTGGACCTAGTGCAGGGGTTGCCGACTGTGGATAGCAGAGTTCAAAGGGCACCGCAGGACTGTCCTGCAGGCGCAATCACAAACGCAGCATAGACGGAGCGCCCGCTGAGTGCCAGGCACTGCACACCCCCCCCCCCCAATGCTCTGAGATCTCCAGCTCGGCGAGGACAACACACTCACGTCCACTTGCGTTCAGTGTCTCTAGAAACTTCCATATGAACTCTCCTGGTTCCTGGTAGATATGCTTTCCAGGCTCTGAGGACGGCACTGAAATCCACCTGCATTGGCCCAGGATGCCGTGGTTTTGGGGGAGGCTGCAGGGCGTGGGGTTGCCTGGGAGGGCCAGACTCTGCCACACGGAAAACCCCCAGTTAAGGGGATGGAGGCCGAGGCAGGTCACGGGGTCACGGGGCTTGCCACATTGCTGAGGCCTCCTGGCACACCTGGCAGTGGACACGGCTTCCTGGGGTGTCAAGCTGTGGGAGGAAGTCCTCAGAACAGGAGGGGTACCCACCTCCATGAGATTGAGAGCTTCCTCAAAGGACTGCTGATTTCTCTCCCATAAGGCTGGAGGGTCCCAAGGCATGCAGGGGGTGTGTGTGTGTATGGGAGGGAGGGTGATCAGTGTGGACCTCCCTGTTCCCAGAAGCAGAGACAAGAGACAGAGACAGAGGGAGGGCAGGGGGAGAGACTCTCTCAGGTCTGTCTGCAGACCAGCAGCTCCCAGCTACTGGAGCAGGGGGGAGGGACGGGGAGAGGGAGTTACAAGAGGCACATGGCTGGCCAGGAGGCTGCTCCCAAGCCCACCGGTGCTCCGTGAACGCATTCCCGAGTCCCCTCTCCCCACTGCCCACTGCCCGCCCAGGCTTCATGCAGAAGCAATCAGCTTTTCCTGCAGGGGGGACACAGTGTCATCCAGCAGGGCCACTCTGTGGCCAAACTCACTTCATCCTGTTGATGAATTTAACTGCAGGCTGAAAGATTACTGGGGTTGGGAGTGGGAAAGATGCCCCAAGAGGGTGTGGGGTGCAGGAAAGTGAATCAGGGTGGATCGGGGTCTTGTGTGTTTCTTCTTTGGCCTTGTTCCTCCTACATTCCCCCTCTTCCTGTCATCTTCATCACCATCATCAATGACAACAATAACAGTCCCTCTGCTGGCCTTTGTATTCCAAGTTCTTCCAGAGTTTTTGTTTCTATTCTCCAAGCCATCCCACGAGGTGTGAAGGGATGTGTTTTAATCCTGTCTTTCCTCAGCTGAGAAATTCAAGGCTCAGAGACAGGAAACAACTTGTCCAAGGCCACACAGCAAAGAAAAGAAAGAGTTCAGGATCCAGGCCTTAGGTCTCCTAGTCCCAGAGGCCTTGAAAAAACTCTCTGCCAGTCAGTCAGTCTCTCAACCCCTGTCCAGGAAGGGAGCATGGGCCTACAGGCTGTGTGACCTCTTTCCATGGCAACCTCTCTGAGCCTTATCATCCTTATTCATAAACGAGCCAATGGTCCTTGTCATGAGGCCTTAGAGAAGACTTTTCTCAGGGGGCTGCAGTCACAGGTGGATGGCAGTGGTGCTCTCTTAGATCTGAGTCTCTGGGAGGCATGGGGCAGACTTGCTCTCTTCAGCATCCAGAGCGTTGCTATGGCAACGCCTTCCTCCGAGAGGACCATTCAGCATCGGCAGCCTGTGGGCCCTGCTTTGCCCTCTTCACTCTGGGCTTCCACTTCCATGGAGTTCCCCAGATCCCTGCCCAGCCAGGAGTGGAGAGGAGGGGGTGGGAAAACTAGACCAGAAGTCCATGATGAGTCTCACAGCTTGGTGGAGTCTGGAGAGCAGGGGTGCTGGAGGGGCAGGACCACCCCCCTTCCTCATTGAACATCAAGTAAACACTGGTCTTCAGTTCTGGTCCCAGCTCTGTAGCCCGCTGCAATTTTCTCAGTTATTTTATATTTTATTATCAAAGCACATTTGAAAACCTGATGGAAGAAAACCAGTGCTCTTGTTGATGGCAAATGAGTGTCATTTCATAAATACATGTATACATATGTATATAATTATACATTCATGGGATGGTAAAGACCAGGGGTGTGAAAACCAGCACGGCTCAGTTCCACTAGACATTCAGGCAGCTCTGGGCTCTGGCCTGGCTTCCTCCCTCCCTCTCTCTCCTCTGAAGCTAGAAGAGCCCAGGCACCCCCTGCCAGGGCTGTGCTGCCCCGTGCTGCAGTAGCCATCCACCATCTGCAGCTCTGCAACCTTGAATTAAGATAAAGTAAAAACAACAACAAAGATTGCCTCTGTTTTCTTCCTTGCGCTGGGACCCAGCTGGGGGTGGGGTGGGGTTCGGAGCGCTTTTTCTGCCCTTGTCCAAGGTCACCTGGTGGGACAGTTTGGGCAAAGGGAGGCCATCTCTGCCCTCCAAGGAGGAACTGAGAAGCCATGGGGTGAGGGCTTCCACCAGGAAGGCCAGGGCTCCTCTGTCAGACTTGGCTGTCCTTGCCGGATCTCTGCCTAAGGATTCAGCCCCAGTCTGCCTCCGTTTACACAGGCCTCCTCCTCCCGGGGTCTCCTGAGGGCTTGTGACCTCATCCCCATCAGAGGGTTTCAGGAAGGGGGTCCTTGTGACTTGTTGCATTTGGCCGTGATGTTCTGGGAGGAGGGCCCAGTACGCCAGCTGCACCCACCCTGCTCGGCTCAGATAGGGGCTCCCGTTCTTGCTCAGGATTGGCCTCAGACCATAATCCCCCTACCTGTGGTCTCCTTCCACATCGCTAGTATTACAGGCACTGTCACCACATCCAGCCTGTTAGTTAAGATGGGACTCTCACTAACATTTTACCATGGCTGGCTTGGAACTACGATCCTTTCAATCTTTGCTTTCTTGGTAAAGAGCCACAGTACCTGGTACTGCATCTTTGTCTTAAGGTCAAGTCTATTGAGGAGCAACTACTGTACAGTATGACTTTATTTGGGGGGGGGGGGGGAAGATGAATTCTGACAAATGTATTTTGTATAAAACTGTCCTCCAAGTTTTACATCATGAATCTCTTTCATGTCTGTAAATAAATAATCTAAATGTCCAATGGTCAGGGATTTACTGCTTTTTTTTTTTTTTTTTTTTTTTTTTTGCCGGTCGTGGGACTTGAACTCTGAGCTTGGGCGCTGTCCCTGCGCTCTTCAGCTCAAGGCGAGCACTCTACTGCTTGAGTCACAGCGCCACTTCTGGTTTTTCTAGTGGTTTATTGGAGAAAAGAGTCTTATGGACTTTCCTGCCCGGGCTGGCTTTGAACCGTGATCCTCAAATCTCAGCCTCCTGAGTAGCTAGAATTACAAGTGTGAGCCACCAACACCGGGCTGCTGCTTCTTTTTTTAAATGGGTTTTTGCCAGGGGGTGTTAAGCAATCCTCTAGGGCTGGGTGAGGAGGTGGCTTCTACGTTGGCCCAATCAACTTCCTTGTGCTCAGGAAGGGCTCCGTCCTTGGGCAGTGTCCAAAGTGGGCACAGGGGTGGCGATGCTTCCTACCAACCCCAACGTTTCACTAAGCCAGTGCCTTCTTCCCCCGTCTTGCCTGGCTGCAGGGAACCGCCTGGATGAGGGCTCAGACGTGGAGTCGGAGCCGGACCTCCCGCTGAAGCGCAAGCAGCGCCGCAGCCGCACCACCTTCACGGCCGAGCAGCTGGAGGAGCTGGAGAAGGCCTTCGAGCGGACCCACTACCCTGACATCTACACGCGCGAGGAGCTGGCGCAGCGGACCAAGCTCACCGAGGCCCGCGTCCAGGTGAGGGGCCTCCGCTGCCCTCCAGGGCCCAGATTGGGGGGGCAAGGCCATGAGTTCAACGTCATTCCCCCCTCCAACGTCATTCTTCCTCCCAGGAAGACATAGAAGTGGTGCACCTGGCACAGAGGCAATGGGCAGGGAAGGTTGGTCGGGTGAAGGACTGGAATGAGAAAGAGGGGGAAAATAGAGACGGAAAAAAGGGGGAGGAGGAGAGAGAAGGGGGGAGGGGGGAGGAGAGAGAGACACTAAGGAAGGAAGGAAGTTAGATATTCAGCCCAAAGAGAGAACTCAAGATAGATAAGCATCTCCATACATCTGATCAGGGACGGAGGTAATGAAGAGAGAAATTGCCAGACAAGCCTGGTTCCCCCCCGCCCCCAGATGGGTAGCTGAGTTCCTCATTGTGAGAGGAGACGGGGTAGGCATGTCCCTGGCCAGAGCTGGGCAGACCCGAGGGGGCCGGGGTTAGGGGGTGAGCCCAGGCCGGCGGCTGAGCCCTAAGCGGCTTCTGGGAGACCTGCAGTTGATCTGCAGCTCAGGGCTGGAAAGGGCCTGGGCTGGGGAGGCCGGAGAGAGCAGACAGGCTGGGATGCACGGCTGTCACAGGAAGCCGGTCCTGGGCTGGCTTATCCACAGAGCAGAGAGGTGGGGAGCGGGGAGAGGGACCCCCCAACGACACACTTCCACACAGGGGAGCCAGCCTCCCTCCAGAGTACCACGCCAGCTACTGTGGTGTCTCACTCTTGAGCCTCAGTCAGACCACCTTGTCTTTGACGGGGCCACTGTGCAGAAACGGGGGGCTCAGAGCCGAGGTGTGTCTGAACCATGCCTGGCTGATGATACTAAGCCCATCTCGTGTGTGTGTGTGTGTGTGTGTGTGTGTGTGTGTGTGTGTGTGTGTGCGCGCGTGTGTGTGTGTGAACTCAGAGCCTGGGCTCTGTCTGAGGTTTTTGTTTTTGCTCAGAGCTAGCACTCGACCACTTGAGCCACGACTCTACTTCCGACTTTTCGCTGGTTCATTGGAAACAAGATCCTCATTAGCTTTCCTGCCTGCTCTGGTTTTGAACCGTGATCCTCAGATCTCAGCCTCCTTAGAAGCTTGGATTACAGGCGTGAGCCACCGGGCGCCTGGCAAAGCCCATGTTCTTTCCGCGTACAGCAATGAAAATGTTGACTCAGGACCTGGAATTTGAGAGCAATAGGGAAAGTTCTAGAAACAAATCCACCTTAAGCCCTCCAGGAACCTCCATCTACCCCCTACTGGCAGACCAGAGGGGCCCTAGGCAGCCCTTGTAGAGGGGGGCTGGTGGCCCCGTCCGCCCCCCTCAGCCCCCCCTCTCTGGTGACAGCGGAGGAGCCCGCCCCTCCGCCCCTTCCCTGCAGCTGTTGCCCGGTGCATTCTTCCCGGCTTTCTCATCCCTGGGCTGGCTGCTTCCCACCACCTTGAAGCCTGGCTGCTTTTTGTAAAATTTCCTGGCACTGCTTTTATTGGCCCAGGGGACCCAGGAACAGGTGTCACTCCAGGTCCAAGGAGGGAGGGGGCTGGGAATGGAGGAGTCCGCGTGGAGCAGCCCAGCATCCTCGTTCTTGCTGACTCCCAGCATCCATGGGGCTTCTCCAGGGGCCCACTGGGTCTCTCTTCTCTCACCAGAAGTCCCCCATCCCCCACCCCACCAGGCAAACCCAGGGTCTCTCCCCGCGGGGCGCCCCCCCCCCCCCCCCGCCTTAGCCCAAGAACTTCCTAAGCAGAGAGATGAACCCAAATAGTTGAGGTTTTAAAGCACAAACAAAGGCGGATGAAATCAAGGTCGGGAGACATGACTCCAGCACGCAGCTGCTCACAGAGGTCCCTGAGGAGAGCCGGGCTCCGAGCCCTGAAACCAGCAGCAAGGCCTGCAGCCCCCGCCCCGCCCCTGCCGTGTCCCTGTCGGCAGGCAGCTTTCTGTCCCCCGAAGTGGTGTCCCTCTATCACTCAGGGGTGGCCTGCAGTGGTCACCAGGGCCCCTCTGAGTGACCGGTCCTCACTGGCAACAGGGGTGTCTGGGGAGAGGATGAGATTCTCGCCACAGAAAAGGCTCAAACTAAAGACAAGGCCACCGGATTGGAGGCCCTGGCAGAGGGACCCTGCTATAGGGAGCGGAACAGGGACTTCAAGGCCCTGAGATTGTTAAGGCTCCACTGTAATGTGGCGTTGAGATTTTGCCATCTTAGTCTCCTTCTTCTTGTCCTCCTCTTCTTCCTCCTCTTCTTCTTCCTCCTCCTTCTCCTCTTTTTTTTTCTTTTGTCAGTAGTGGGGCCTGAACTCTAGGCCTAGGCGCTGTCCCTCAGCTCTTCAGCTCAAGGCTAGCGCTTTACCACTTGAGCCACAGCGCCACTTCTGGCTTTTTCTGCTTATGTGGTGCTGAGGAATTGAACCCAGGGCCTCATGCATGCAAGGCAAGCGCTCTACCACTGAGCCACCTTCCCAGCCCCTCCTCCTCCACCACCACCACCTCCTCTTCCTCTTCCTCCTCTTCTTCTTCCTCCTCCTCCTCCTCTTCTTCTTCCTCCTCTTCCTTCTTCTTCTCATTCTTCTCTTCCTATTCCTCTTTCTCCTCTTTGTTTTTTGTGCCAGAATGGTGGCTTGGACTCAGGACTTAGGCCCTTGTCCATCAGCTTTGGTGCTCAAGGTTGGTGCTCTATCCCTTGAGCAACAGTTCTACTTCTGGCTGTTTAGTGGTTAGTTGAAGGTAAGAGTCTCATGGACTTTCCTGCCGGGGCTGGCTTCAAACCACAATCCTCAGATCTCAGCCTCCCAAGTAACTAGGTTGGCCTCTACTTCTAAGAAGTGATGGCTCTGAAATCTTGTAGTTCTGTGACATCTCAGTAGCCCTGCAGAGGGGAGAGCAGGTGGCCAGGGTGGGGGTGGGCTTGGAGCTGGGTGCCTGGGACAGATTCCAGCCTCTCCATCCTCAGTCTCCTCACCTGCAAAGTGGAGATGACCACAGTAGAAATAAAAACATAGACACCCCTGCACAGCAGAGCGCTTGGGGGAAAGGGTCTATTGTGGGGAAACCTCATACTCTCAGCTATGACCGTATTTTGCCTCTTGATGTTTGTTTTCCACTGGCTGTTTGCCTGACACTACTCTGGGCACTGGGAGTTTGGTGGACAGTAATTCCAACCCACATCCTATCACTGAGTATGAAGAGAAGGCTTAAAAATGAACGGCCAAGCTGGGCACTGGTGCTCATGCCTATAATCCTAGATGCCCAGGCTGGAGGTCCACAAGACTCGGATTATCTCCAATTAACCAGCAAAAGGCCAGAAGTGGAGTTGTGCCTCAGGTGGTAGAGTGAATGAAAAAACTCAGACACAGCACTAAGGCCCGAGTTCAAGCCCCAGTATTGGGGTGCGCGCGCACACACACACACACACACAAAACAGAATAATTGGGGCCAGGAGCAGGGCTCAGTGGCAGAGAAGACTCAGTGGCACAAGACCTTGAGTTCCATCCCCAGCACCATCACCACCCACACTTACCACACACTCATGCACACACGTACTTGTATACACACAGGCACGCACAGAGGAAAGAGTAATCAGATCCAGCTCCTATTTTCAGAGAGCTCAACCCTGACCAGGAGGTCGTGGCTGGGAGGTGGAGGTTGCCACTTCCCTCCGGGAGTCCCCATTTCCTGTCTGGAAATGCAGCTGGCATCAAAGTGGCAGAGGGCCCCGCGGGGTCAGTGGGATGTCACGCGGTGGCTCTCAGCGCCTCTCCTATGTCAGCTCACCTGAGATCCAGAACCACCCCCAAGTCAGAGGGTGTTAGCCCCGTTTTTGGGAAACAGGCCCGGAGAGTTCCTGGGCTGTCTCCATCGGAACCAGGAGTCAGAGGTATAGCTGCAGACCCAGCTTCTCCAGAATATGGTTTTCTAAGCAGGGTGAGGTGAGGGTGTCCTGGTTGAAGAAGAGATGAGAGAGCGGGCAGCAAGGGGCAGACCTTCTCCTCTAGGCAGCCCCCCCCAACCCGTGCCCTGCCTGCCTGCCTGCCTGAGCTCACTGGGGCCACTCCTTGGCTTGTCTGTTCTGTGCCAGGCAGAGGGCAGCTTGGGGACCAGGACTGGGTCCAGCCCATCTCTCCACAGTATCTTGCTTGGTGTAGAGCAGAGTCCCCTTGAAAGTCTGGGGTGAGGAGGATAAACATGAAAGAAGAGAAAGGGGAAGAGCAGCAAAGGGAAGGAGGAAGGACCAGAAAAGACCAGTGACATTGTGGACTCTAACCCCCTCCCCCCCCCGAGCTGCCCATGTGCTCATCTCGGCAGGTGTGTGGTCATGGGGTTTGGAGGTCTTAAGTAACCTGGTACCAAGGGGTATTGGCATCTTTACCCCACCGGGGGAGACTCAAGCTAAAGCCTCATGGCTTCAGTTCCAACAAAGACATAGGAGAGCTTCCCCGTGTTCCTTGTTTTCCATCCATTCATCCATCCACGCATCCATCCAGCTTCCATCCACACAACATCCACACATCCATCTACACATCCTTCCATCATCCATCCACACGTCCATCCATCTATCCACACATATCTCCATCCATTATCCATCCACAAATCCACACATTTATCCATCATCATCCATCCATCCACACATTAACCCACTCGTCTCTCTCTATATCCATCCACACATCATCTACACATCCACTCATCCACACATCATCCATCCATCTCCATCCATCATCCATCCACATCTTTAAGCATCTATCCATCCATACGTCTATCCACACATCATCCATCATCCACACACACACACATCCATCATCCACACATTTATACATTATCATCCATCCACCCACACATTAACTCACACATCTATCCACATATCCATTCACACATCATCCACACACATCCATCCATCATCCATCCACATACCCGTCTACACATCCTTCCATCATCCAACCACCATCACACACATCCATGCACACATTCATCCACTAACCATCATCCACCATCCCTCCACACATCCATCCATCATCCATCCATCCATCAATCATCATTCATTCATCCATTCATTTATCCATTTGCACATCCATCTAGTCGCCTGTGTATGCACCCATCTATTCATCATCACAGATAAGTCCATTGTTCATTCATTCAGCATACACTCATTCATTCGCCTATCACTCATCCATCATTCATCTGTCCACCATTCATTCAGTGTTGGTTGAGTGCCTATGGAGGCCTCTGTCCCATGGGGCCTAGAACCTTACAGGAAACACAACCAAACAGCCAAGAAACCACATAAAACAAAGGGCTGATTACAGAAGTGTCATGCGGAAGCTACCTGGGAGAAGGCAGGGAGCCACCTGTGCCCATCCCTAGGCCTCAGACTAGGGAGGGTCTTCCAGCTGCAGGAGGAGTATTCGGGCAAGAGGGAAGAGCATATGCAAGTACCACAGGTGAAACCGAGCCATTTCACACTTCCATTCTCTTTGTCTGGCAAGTCTTAGGAAGCTTGTGAACTCAAATGAGAGGACTTGAAGGACAGAGCAGTTCTAGGGCCTGGGGCCAGCTATATGGACTATAGAGAGACACCTAGAGGAAGGAGAGACTCAAGTATGGTTATTTCCCAGATGTTTAGGAAGTCCACGTGGGTTTCCTATTCAGTGAGACCCAGGCTGTTAAGCAAACAGCAAGGAACTGGCTTGCACAGCATGGTGTGGAGGAAAGTCTCTCATCAGCTTCCAGACAGGAGATCTTCTCTGGGCAGAGGGGAAAATGAGGGATGGAGAAGAAAGAATGACAGGCGGGACACCAGTGACCCCCGGGGCTGGAGCTGCAGGAGGAGGAGCACTGGACTCAGAGCCTCACAGATACGTGCGGGGCCCTGGCACTCCCTGCCTTGTGGCCAGGTCATCCACGTCCTGTGGGCCTCAGTTTCCTCTTCTGTCAAATGGGGGCAATGGTAACACCTGGGTAACTGTGGGGACAAAAGGGGATCATGCCTATGGCTCTACAAACTGTGCTGGGTGCGTGCGTGGAGGTAGGGTCCCTTCCCTGGAGGAGGCTGATGGCCGGGGGTCTGGTTCTAGCTGTGTTTCTAGCTCTGCCACGAGCCAGGCTGAAAGTTGTCTATCCTCCATTCTCCATCCTCAGGTCTGGTTCAGCAACCGCCGTGCCCGCTGGCGTAAGCAGGCAGGAGCCAACCAGCTGGCCGCGTTCAACCATCTTCTGCCAGGAGGCTTCCCGCCCACCGGCATGCCCACGCTGCCCCCCTACCAGCTGCCGGACTCTACCTACCCTACCACTACCATCTCCCAAGGTGAGCTTCCTGCCCACCCCTACCTCCTTCTCCTGCCCCGCCCACCAGCCTGCCTGTCACTCACAAGAGTGTTCCTCCCTTATGACTGGGTGCAGACCAAGAGGCCACAGACCATTAAGATAGAGAAGATACAGTTCTGTGGTCCCGCCCTTGAAATGCTTAGCTTCCCAGAGGCCACAGTCGCCAGGGAAGGTGGCAATACAGCCTCTGCACCCAGTTACAATGAGCTTTTCAAATGGGAGCCTCTTAAGGGTCTCCTTGCAATGCCAGGCTGGGGTTTGAGATGCTGCCTTCCTACCAGGAGATGCCCATGCAGGGAGGAAAAGCTCAGAATGTTGTCTATTGATTTGGGGCCAAGTATAGCCAGTCTTCAATTAAAATGAGAATGGAAGCTGGGCACCAATGGCTCATGCCTGTGATCCCAGCTACTCATGAGGCTGAGATTGGAGGGTCACAGTTTGAAGCCAGCCCGGGCAAGAATGTCCATGAGACTCTTGTCTCCAGTTGCTCAAGTGGTAGAGTGTTAGCCTTGAGCAAGAAAGCTCAAGGGACAATGCTCAGGCCCTGAGTTCAAGCCCCAGTGCTGGCAAAAATAAAAGGAGTAAATAAATGAGAGTGGAAAGTGTGTGCATGTGTGTGTGCGTGCACATGTGTGGGCTGGCATGTGTGCGTGCGTGCACATGTGCGGGCTGGCATGTGTGTGTGCGTGCACATGTGTGGGCTGGCATGTGTGTGTGCGTGCACATGTGTGGGCTGGCATGTGTGTGTGCGTGCACATGTGTGGGCTGGCATGTGTGTGCCAGTGCTGGGGGCTGAACTCAGGGCCTCTGGCTCCCACTTGGCTTTTTCACTCAAGTCTGTCATTTTGCCACTTGAGCCAGTGCTCCATTTCTGGCTTTCTACTGGTTAATTGGGGATGAGAGACTGGTGGACTTTTCTTTTTTTTTATTTTTTTTTTATTTTATTTTATTTGTGAACATACTGTACAGAGGGATTACAATTACATGGGCAAGATAATGCGTACATTTCTTACCAAGCATTGCAGCCTCCTCCTTTGTTTACCCTTCACCTCCCTTCCCAGCCTCCCCCCTCCCCCCCCAATCCTTCCCCCCCCCCCCCGCTCCCCCCCACCGACATTGTAAAGCTCCTTTTTGACATGACAATTTGTACTTCTCATTGTTGCAACAGGTCCACCTGAATCCTTAAATGACTTGTTTTTCCCCATCTCCTCCATAAGTTATACTGACATCAAATATATTGAAAGCGGGGGTTATACTGTGGGGGAGGGACATACAAAGCAACAAAGAAATAAAGTTATAAATGCGTTAGAAACACATGCATGAAAGAAAAAAAACATTAAAATACCTATCTAAGGATTCATTTTCCTAACATCACATTATCTGACTTTTTCTGCTTGACTCGTACATATACTAGATATTGCAAATAAGGGAAACCATGGGACCTGTGTTTCTTTGTGCCTGGCTTAATATAATTTTTTCCAAGTTTTTCCATTTCCTAAGAAATGGGGCAATGTCATTCTTTCTGATGGAGGCATAGAATTCCATTGTGTATATATACCACATTTTCTTGATCCATTCATCTACTGAAGGGCATCTGGGTTGGTTCCATATCTTAGCTATGGTAAATAATGCTGCAATAAACATAGTTGTGCTGGTAGCTTTAGTGTGGTCTTGTTTGTAAACATTTGGGTAAATGCCCAAAAGTGGGATTGCTGGGTCATAGGGGAGCTCTATGTGAAGTCTTTTGAGGAACCTCCATACTGCTTTCCAAAGTGGTTGAACAAGTTTACATTCACTGGTGGACTTTTCTGCCTCAGCTGGCTTCCAGTCGATACTCATATCTCAGCCTCCTGAGTGTCTAGGATTGCAGGTGTGAGCTCCTGAGGCCTGACCTATGATCTTGAGATGAAATCATGCCAAGGTCAAAGGTGATGAGGTCCCAGCCTCAGAGGGCCACAGAGAGGGACTCTGATGGCAGATTCTCAGTCCAGTGACGAAAAACAGAAAAGGCTAGAGTTAGATTAATCAAAGCCTGCTGCAGGAGCTCTCCAGGAAGGACTGAATACTAAACACTAACTAAATCACTAAATACTGACAGGTATGTGAGTGAAGTAGAGTCCCTAAGAAACTTTCAGTTTGCCCAGCGTGCATTGAACATAACTGTATATCTAGCACCAAGCAACAAGGCCCATGTGGGGGCTCAGTTGAACTTGTGCAATCCTGGGTCACCGGAGAAGATGCTGTCTCTTCTCTCAAAGGACCAGACTTGGCAGAGGCCAAAGCAACATGGCCACTTCCTCCCCACTGAGATTCTTTCCCACTCAAGACCTCCCTTGGGTTTCTCCACAGATGGAGGCAGCACCGTGCACCGTCCCCAGCCCCTCCCACCGTCCACCATGCACCAGGGTGGGCTGGCGGCGGCTGCAGCCGCTGCCGACACCAGCTCTGCCTATGGGGCTCGCCACAGCTTCTCCAGCTACTCTGACAGCTTCATGAACCCCGGGGCTCCTTCCAACCACATGAACCCCGTCAGCAACGGCCTGTCTCCTCAGGTAAGTGGCCTCCCCATTCTGTCCCAGGTCTCATGGCCAAGACAGCTGTTGGTCCAGTCGGTGGAGTTCCAGGTCAGCTCTTCCATGGGCAACACAGGGACCACTCAGAATCTACTGGTCTCCATGAAACACTTGGTTTTGGGGACCTCAGGAGGTGGACTGGGTGGGTCCTCTACCTGCACTTGTCTTATCTGTGGGCCATGGCGCCAGGCTGGTTTTTCTCAGTCTGCAGAGACTGGGTTGTGGATTAGCTCCTGACCTAACAGCCATCAGAGTTCATAAAACGCTGGCCCCATCGCCTTCATACGTCGGATGCCTGAGAGGCAGGCATGTGGGAAGCTGTGGGAAGTTTTGTTCTAAAAACCAAGAGTTCTTCCTGGATCTGTCCTGTTCTCCATCTCCAGCCTTTCTCAGGGGTAAATGGATCAGTGAGAATCAGGGCATATCCTATTGGTGGAGTAATTGCAAATCAGGTTCTGGGCCAGGACCTCTACTCTGATTGGGTCTTGAGAAGTCTGTTCACTTATGTGATTGGTTGCTGGTTAAGTCCCTTGTTGCCTTGTACTGTACTAAAAGTCTGGAGACCTGCTCTGGATAGAGTGGCAAACAATGCGGGGCTTGTGGCAGTTGTTGGTGGGGTTGTGGACCGGATTCCATGATGCTGGAAGTCCCTGTGAACTTGAGGTTCATTTTTATAGCAGTAACAGGCTCCCCAAAACCCCAGAGGAAAGGACTCAAAGCTGAGACTGATTTTATTTTGTCTTCTACCTGCGGTGCCCTTCCTTCCTTCCTTCCTCATGTCTACAAGAGGAATGGACACAGGACAGAGGATAAACTAGCCAAGGCAGCTGTAACATGCTGGGAAAGGTCTAGGCTTTGGGGCTGGGTTTAGAGTTTCCCCGTCCTGTTGTTTGGAGGTGATCTGGGGCTGCCTGCTACATTCACTTAGTTGCTGACAGAGTAAAGCACCCAGCACAAAGCCCAGCACAAAATAACACTAAGTAAATATTAGTTCTTTAAAGATTTGTTCTAATAATAGTTCTATTTTTCCTTCTGTTGCTTAGACAATATAATTAATAGGAGAAAACTGTTACTTTAAAAAAAAAAAAAAAAAAGAAAGTAAGCCAGTCCCTCATGGTTCACATCTGTAATTCTGATCTGATGGCCAGGGTTTGAAGCCAGCCTAGGCAGGAAAAGTATGTGAGACTCCTATCTCCAATTAACCACCAAAAAAGGGCAGAAGTGGATCTGTGGTTCAAGTGGTAGAACATCCACCTTGAGCAAAAAAGCTAAAAGGCATTGCCCAGGCCCTGAGTTCAAGCCTCAGTACTGGTGTGCGCACACACGCGCACACACACGCACACACACACACACACACAGCCAAAAGGACTCAAGCAAACTCCATCCTGGAGGTCATACCATCCAGCTATGCATTTGTGTTTTTTTTAAAAAAAGTTTTATTAGAATGCCTGTGGCTTTGGGGCAGTGGCAGCAGGGCTGAGTTTTACAGGAGACCATAGAGACCACAAAACCTACAGAACTGTGTGACCTGTACAGAGAACAATGCCAGCCTCTGATCTCAGCATGCTCAAGGGGGCTAACAGTCAGCCCGGCAGGCTCTTTCCTGTTTACCCCCATTGGTATGGAAGATGTACAGTCCATTTAGCTCCATGATTAAATTGTGGGGAAGGCCTCCCTGTGATTTTCTTGGAGTGGGGATAATGCTGGGATTGTAGAGTTTGGAATGAGATCCATCTCCACAAAGCGCCTAGCTCAGGCCTGGAATGGTATGTGTGCCAGGGAACCCTAAGCAGTTACAGGGAGAAGAAGCCCTTTCCGGTACCTTCTACCCAGCATGTCCTCTGGGCACTGCAGATGATTCTGCTGGCCTGGCTGTACTCGCCAGCCCTGGGGAACTGGTCTGTACTGGGCTTGCCTCAATCTCTTGCTGATACCCCAGGCAAATGACCTCCTACATCTACCACAGAGCCCCATGGGTTGCCACTTTTCCCTGGTGAGACTTAATTTGATTGGCCCCGTTTGGGGGTTCAAGATCATGACCCTCTGTTGCATGATAGCCAAAGTTAACTGTCCAGGCTGACCTTCCAGAGCTGGGGCAAGAGAGAGCATCACATGGGATCCCAGAATCCTCTGGGTTAGGACACTGCTGAGACTCGGGGGATTCTGCACCCCACAGTGTGATCCGGACACGTTTGGAAAGGCTAAGGAGGGACACCGAGGTATTGAGGTCACCTCTCAATTCAGACGGCAGGCCTAGGCCTGGGCCTAATCGCTCCTGTGCTGGTCCGACCGTCTCGTGTGCACCAAGTGTGATCCCCAAGCAGGAGGCCTCCCACCCAGCAGAGGAGAGATGTGCGGATGAGAGGTCCCTGGCCTTCAGGGAGGAGGGGGGAGAGGGAGAAACGCATGCACTGGTACGAGCGGCCAGACCCCTGCAGAAACTTCTCCATTCCGGGTTGGAAGGCTCAGCCATTAGATGATGTGTTTGCTGCCCCTGCCTTCATTCCTCCTTCATTCCTCCCTCGACCCTGGGGAGGACAGACTCTAACAGCAGGAGAGCCTGGGGAGGCATCCACCTGGTCTACCTGGTCTGTAATCCTCGGCAGAGAGGCTGTGGGGACGTGATGGATCGGTGGCTGAGTCCACTGCAGCTTTCCCCTCGAGGCGTGAAGAGTGATGGGGGCTGGGGGCTCTGACAGGGGGAGAGGGGACCTGGCAGGGGACAGCTGCGGAGAAAGGGCTGCACTGTGCTGTGAATGAGTGGATGTTGGACTTCTGCCCAGCACATCCTGAACTGGGGTTAGGGAGGGGGGGGTCTAGGTGTAGGACAAGCTCTGGCTTCATTCTCTCCTTTCTGGATAGACAAGGTTGGTGACCCATCTGCCCATCCCTGGGGTCTTGGAAGGGGTAAGGTGAGGCTAGGGTTCTCCCCAGTTTGAAATCTGTGTGGGGAGAGGGTTGTTCCCTATAGGAAGGGCTTGTCTGCAGCCCCTCTGGTCCACAGGGAGGGCAGCTTGGGCTGGACCAGCCACCCGACCTGGAGGGGCTGTAGGTACTGCTACCCTGACAGCTTTGGCCTTTGAAACTGGACAGTGGTTTGTTCACCCAGCACTCAGTGAGAGTCCCATTGGAGGATGAGGCTGGAGGTTTGTGGGACCCCGGGTCAGGTCCGGGGACAGCTAGTTCCTCACACTGATGTCCCGAGTCTGTTCTTTCCTCCAAGCCTGGGACATCGATGCCCTCGAGTCCTGGGCGTCCTCAAGAAGGCACTCCAGCAGAACTCTGCAGAAAGGCTCTTCTGCTTTTTCTGCCCTGAGCCCTGAGCCCTGGCTGTGCAGTGGGCAGCTACAAGGACAAAGACTGACCCAGGGCCGGCCACGAGCCAGTGCTGTCTCCCTGGCCCTCAGAACACATCAGGGAATCAGGAGAGCCCTGAGACTGAGGGCAGTCGCAGGTGGGCTGACACCTTTGCTCGGCTTTAGGGGGCTTCTCTATAGCCCTCACCATCAAACCCCACCTAATAGGGTCAGGTCCTACGAGCTCAGCACAGGACTCCAAGAGAGTCTGTGTGCCTCAGGCCCTTCAGAAGTGGCATCGGGAGAAGCAGGCCTGTTCTCAGCACCTCACTCGGATGCCTTGCCTGGGATTGGGCCCCTCACACCAGCTGCTCTCACCCCTTTGCTTCAAGCGAAGGGTCAGTTATTAGGAAGTGACTCTTTGTGTGTGCATGCATGTGTGTGTGTGTGTGTGTGTGTGCGCGCACGCACATGCATGTGTGCCCGATGGGGCATGAACTCAGGGCCTAGGTGCTGTCCTTTAGTTTTTTCCCACCGAAGGCCGGCACTCCAGCACTTGAGCCTCACCTCTACTTCCAGCTTTTTGGTCGGTTAACTGAAGATAAGAGTCTCATGGACTTTCTTGGGTTTCAAACCTCAGATCTCAGCTTCTTAAGTAGCTGGGATTATAGGTGTGAACCACCAGTGCCCAGCTTGGAAGAGATTCCTGGAGAACAACTCGGGAGACTTAAGTTGGAGACAAAGGACACATCTTATAACAGGGGAGTCCTCTGATGGCTTCACAGCGACTCTGTCTAGGAATGACAAGCCAGGTACCCAGAGACAGGAAAGAGGATGCCAGTCCTGCCCAGAGGGGGTCCCATTGGGCTCCAGATCCCTAGTCCAGGGCCTTTGTCTGCGCATTGTAGAAAGGGAGACTTGCGTCTGCCCCCGTCACTTCTGGTGCTCCTCATCACATCCTCGCCGGCTGTCATCTCCTTCGTCCCCCTCGGGAGCTTAAAATGAAGGCATCTGTAAAAGAGATTTACATATTTACAATCCACCCATATTGACCTACTGAAAACTGTCTTCCAAGTGTGCTGTTAATCACAGGACTGTGGGGGCACACCAAGCTTTCCTGTCCTTTCCTGCTAGTGTTCCCCCTCCTTCCCCTCTAGTGCACACCAGAGTTGTGGTGATAGCAGCTGGGCTTAGCACTCCTTTAGCAGGTGGGAGTCCCCAAGTTCAATCCCTTGCAGCACAGAAATAAACGTGTCAATAAAAATAAGTAATCGCAATGACCGTCAGTGTGAATTGAGTGTACACAGCTAGCCAGGCATGAGCAGGGTGAAATGTCATGGGCTTTCACACGCTGAATCTCAGGGGTTATCTTGTGACCCTTATTTTACAGATGAGGAAAGTATCTTGTCCAGAGCTATCCATCATCATTATCCATCCATCTACCTACATATTCATCTATCTACCTATCCATCTATCTACACATCCACCAGTCCATCTGTACATCCATCCACCAATCCATCCATCCATCCATCAATCCACACATCCACCCATCCACACATCCATCTACCTCCTCACCCACTCATCCACCTATCCATATATTTATCTATCCACATTCTATCCAAAATCTATACACACACACATCCATCCATCCATCTCCCATCCATCCATTTATCCATCCATCATTCATCTATATATGCATCTGTCCATTCACACATCTATCCATACATCCATCCGCATAGCCATCCATTCACCAGTCTGCCCATCCATCCAATTATTCATCCATCCATCCATCCACACATCCATCCATCTGCCAGTTCATTCATCTTCCCATCCATCCATCCACATATCTATCCATCTGTCAATTCATCCATCCAACTACCCATCTATTTATTCATTTATCTATCCACTCACACATCCATCTCTCCTCCAAATACCTATTGAGCCATGTGTCAGGCTCTGTGGCAGTAACAGAGCTATCCGGTGCAATGATGCTAATGTGTCATATTTTCTTCCTGTGAGGTCAGTCTAATGGTCCACATTCAAGTTCAAGGTCACATAGACAATTAATGGGAGATTGCCAAACTTCCCCTTCCTCCACAAAGCTCCAGGCTGTATTTGTGATTGTTGATGATCAGGGTTCTCCTAAATGCTTCTCAATAGCAGATACTCAATGTTGCATTCCACCACCGTCCAGGACCTCCAGGGGAGGGTCAAACCAGCAAGAACAGAAACTTCACCAATAGAACCCTCCTGGGTTCCAGAACCTACCTGAGCACTTGGCCTGCTTAAAATCCTTCAAACCCCACCACAAGCCCACACTTAGGGAAATGTACCCAGAGAGGTTAAATAACCAGCCCCAGAGCTGGTGAGTAGTGGGAACAGGTGTTGGAGATCTGCTTGACCCATGAACATCACCATCCTTCAACCCTCCCCAGCACAAGGGCAAGGCATACTGCTGGCCCTAGGGAACAGAGCCCTGCCCTGCACAGGCACCGGGAACTCCCTACGCCTCATCCTCTACTCCCTTCCTCTTTGTCCCTGTCCCTTTATTGGTGACATTGCGTTTATAATAAGCATTTAAAATGAGTCTTGCTGGACCAGAGACAAGGAAGGAGGAGGGAGCAAGAGATTTGTAGGCTAGAAGATGGGAGGGGGATTGTGGGGTGTTAAATAGCCCAGAATTTTTAAAAAACTGATGCAAATCACTAGTAGGAGAGAAAATTATATGCAATTACGTCCTGATATTGGAAGGTTTTGCCTAGCCCAGGCAACAAGATCTCATTAACAAGCAGAAAATAAGATTGAAATGGTGTGTAAAAGAGCTGAAAAATGAATTTGAATGCTGCGTTTGTCCACAATTACCCCCTCCTTCACACATATTTTATTGCAATTTTTTTATTATTCTTAATCTCTCTATTCCTCAAAGCAGATTGGGGACATCCTGGCATTACCAGGGCATCGGGAGGAGGTGTGGAGGATATTTCTTTTCTGCCCCATTGAAAGGAGACCCTTCTCTCAAACATTTCCCAAGGTTGGGGTTTGGAGGGATCAGAATTCATTTCTCCAGCTTAGTGGGTTGTCAGAACACGGAGCTTTAACCCCAGCTGCCTGCTCCTCTGAGCCCCGCCCCGCCCTTCCCTTGCAATTCCGCTACCTCCCACTTCCTTCTCCTTGCCTTCTGAGGGCCTAAAAAGAGCTCTTCTTTCAGGGACCCTCTCCCTCAGGTGCCCAAGGGGTGTGAGGAGGCCTAGAGAGAGAGCACACGCAGGGCCTTTGCCAACAAGCCATCCTGACTTGCAGACTGGGTCTGCCACCGGCCCTGGGGCAGCTTGCTTCTGGGTGTCGTATTTCTCACCTTGAGTAAAGGGACTGATGCATAGTAGGTGGTTAGTAAACGTGTCTTCTCAGAGCCTTGCCCTCATCTGTGCCTTGAGCCCCAGTTCTACACCACATCTCTTCCCTTCCTTTCTTCCCCTCTCACTTTTTTGGTGTTGGTACGTGGGCTTGGATTCAGGTTCTGGATGCCATCCCTTAGTTGTGGCTGTTGTTGTTTTTCAGTCAAGGCTGGTGCTCTCCCACGTGAGTCACAGCTCTGCTTCTGGCTTTTCCGTGGCTACTTGGAGATAAGAATCTCACCGTCTTTCCTATTCATGCTGGCTTCAAAATGCACTCCTCAGAGCTCAGCCTCCTGACTAGCTAGGATTTCAGGGGTGAGCCACTGGCGCCTGGCTCTCCTTTTCTTCTTTTTTTTTTTGGTCGGCCGTGGGGCTTGAACTCTGGGCCTGGGCGCTGTCCCTCAGCTCTTCAGCTCAAGGTGAACGCTCTACCACTTGAGCTACAGCCCCACTTGCGGTTTTTCTGGTGGTTATTGGAGATAGGAGTCTCACGGTCTCTCCTGCCCGGGCTGGCTTTGAACCGCAATCCTCAGATCTCAGCCTCCTGAGTAGCTAGGATTACAGGCGTGAGCCACCAGCGCCTGGCTCCTTTTCTTCTTGATCTGCATCCATCCTGCACCCTGCAGGCTGTTCTGCTGATCCTGCCTGGGGAAGAGAGGTGACTGCCTTTCTCCTCTCCCCTCTCTGCCCTGTGATCTGGAAAGGATGAGCTGGGAGAGACAGGGACAGGAGCTCCATGTGATGTTCTAGGATTGGGGAAAACTGAGTCCTCCTGAACCTCCATTTCTCATCGCTGCTAGTGACTCTGGTGGGGGCCAGGGGTAGGGATCAGAGGTTAATTTGGGGACAGTACCAGGAAACTGAGTTTTCTTTTTTTGTTTTGTTTGTTTGTGTTTGGCCGGTCATGGCGCCTACCACTTGAGCCATAGCATCATTTCTGGCTTTTTCTGCTTATGTGGTGCTGAGGAATCGAACCCAAGGCTTCATGCATGCAAGGCAAGCGCTCTACCACTGAGCCACCTTCCCAGCCCATGAGTTTTCTTTTCTTTTTACTTTTTTTTTGTTAGTGGTGGTGGGGTTTTGAACTCTGGGCCTGGGCACTGTTTCTCAGCTCTTCAGCTCAAAGCTAGTGCTCTACCACTTGAGCCATAACTCCACTTCTGGTGGTTTATTGGAGATAAGAGTCTCACGGACTTTGAACCTCGATCCTTAGATCTCAGCTTCCTGAGTAGCTAAGATTACAAGCATGAGCCACCGGCGCCAAGCATGAGACTGAGTTTTCTTGAACCTAAAGTCAAGGGACATCTTTTCAAAGTGTCCACCCTCCAGACTGTCAATATATCTGTATCAGCTCCCAGAGACCCCTCCAGACTCTATCTGCCAGCCCCTGGCCTTAGCCTGATGGGGAGAGCTCTCTACCCTGTTTCTCAGTTGCCCCATGCCTCCCCAGCCCTGTCCTTTTGCCCCTAGCCAGGCAGGGATGTGGCTGCCCCAGAGGTGTGGATTGATGATTTTCACCACAACTTTTAGTTCTGACCCTCAGGACTCCCCCCATCCACCCCCCCCCCCAAGTCTCTGCAGCCCTGGAGTGCAGTTCCTGCCAAGTTCTGGTTCTCACGGCTCCTCTGCCTTTGTGAAGCTCGCTTGCCCACCTCTGTGGAAAAGCTGAGCTGTTTCCCTGCTGGCGGCTGGCTCACCCAACCCAGTCCACCTGCTGTTGTCCATCACGTGCCCGGCTCCAGCTCCCAGGGAGAGGCCAGGGCAGAGCCATCTTCTGTGAAAACAGAGCTGTGTTTATGTGTCTGCCTTTCTTGCCCCTTTTCCAGGGTGGAGGGGTGAGGAGGAAGGGGGAGGGGACAGTCATGCCTGCTTTGAGATCCTCCAGGAACAGGGGTGAGGGGGTGGGGGTCGGGTCTTGGTTTCCAGGGGTGTGTGTGTGTGTGTGTGTGTGTGTGCATGCGCGCACACGTGCGTGCGTGCATGCCCTTCACGGAGGAGGAAGAGAGCAAGCTGGTCTTTTCTCCTTTTCGAGGACAGATTGAGTCTAGGGAGCTGAGCTTGTGCCTCAACTGAGAGTGTCTAAGGAGGATGATGGCCTTCAGGGGACAAGTGTCCACCACTGAAACAGCCAAATGCCAAACCTGCTCCTATGGGGAAGAAGGCAAGGGAAGTGTCCAGCATGGGATGTCTGGGTGCCCCCATGTGTGGCCCAGCCCACAGGCAGCACTGAACTGCGAGGCTCGTGACATTGACTTTGGTGGCTCTCAGTGTCTGGTCAACCCCAAACATAGGCCTGTCTGACAAGACACAGCCACACTGGGCTCCCAGGAAGAGAGTGAGGCAGCTGCTCTTGGCTCTGACCCTAGGTTACACTGTCACACCTTCAAGTTCCAGGATCTAAAGATCCTTGTGAACACAGCACATGGAAGGTTCAGAGAAGAAAGG